TGTGGTGCTGGGGCTGCACGCGTTGTCTCTGTGCGAGAGGTAAGGAGCTTACACTAGGGAGTAAGGAGCTAATAGGTCCCCCCGCGGAACTCGAGCCAAAGTCCATTAAATGTAGTGTGGATCCCTGTGAGCTGCATCAGGCTCTTGCAGGCAGGTGCTCGCTGGGCTTTACACGCGCTCTAACGCCACGCAGGGATTATGCCAAAGCTTTGCTCTGCTCACTCCGGTTAGTTAGTAACACAGAGTGGAATTAGCAAGTTGAATGGTGGAGAAATGCGGGGAGTGCAGAGTCCCTGCAGGACTCCCCCAGTGCCTCTCTCCAAAGGACTCGCTGGTTCCCCCCCAGGGAATGCAGCTTCCAAGTCCCGGCCCCGCCGCGGGGTCTGCAGCCTGTGTTGCCTTCCTGGGTGTCAGGAAGTGGTAATCGGCTTCTCTTCAAGTAAATCAGATTTCTGCAGCTGCTGCGGGGTCAGGAAGGAGCCAGGGGGTGCCTGGGTCTGCCAGGAACTGGGTCTCCACTCCAGGATCCTCCAGCAGCTGCTGCTGGGTGGCACTGTTAGATCTCAATTTCCATGGCATCCCCTTTCTCTCTTTTTCTCCCTTGACATCTTACACCAGCTCTGAGAACCTGGAGATGCGGCATACCCAGGGAACAGGTACCCTGCGAACATCGTGTCCTTCTGGAAAGCCTGACTTTCCTTCTGCTCAGTAAATCCAGAGCCCGCTGCGCCGAAAGCTGGGGCATCAGGCTGCTGCTCCTCTCCAAGCTGGTTTGCAAAGTGTCGCCCAAACCTCCCTGTTGCTGCTAAATACCCGTGTGAAGGAGGGAAAGAAAGGAAAAGATTGGGTCACTGCCCCAGGGTCGAGAGGTCTGCAGGGGCTCACCCGCAGCGGCAGAAGGGAGGGGTGTTCCTGGGGGCACCCACAGAAGCCCCAAGCCCCAGAGGAAGCCCCAGCCCATTAACCAAGGTCAGCACCTGTAAAGAAAGATTTGCAGTGAGCAAAGGAGAAAGGTAAAGCCCGGCAGGTGAACAGCCTGGGTAGTTTTCTCTACCGCCTCCTCCAGTGGGCGCTGAACAAAAGGCCCAGGCGGGGTCAGGAGCTGTGCGCTGAGGAGCGTGAGGGGCTTTGTCTCCTCC